ACAATTACAATAGGCCTTCGCAGCGCTTTGCTGCTCGGGCCTAATAAGAAACAGTACAATTACAATAGGCCTTCGCAGCGCTTTGCTGCTCGGGCCTAATAATAATATTGCATTGCACTGACTGCAAATAAAACAGAAGCCTGCATTAAAAATTTAAACTGGGTCTGAAAATATAACCAAACATCAATACAGAACAAGCTGCTAACAGTTCTTTAGGGGGGAGTTACCGTATTTTTCGGACTTCAAGGTGCACTTAAAACCCTTTAATTTTCTCCAAAATCGACAGTGAGCCTTATAATCAGGTGCACCTTATGTATTAACTCTGGTTGTGCTTACTGACCGTGAACCAATTTTATGTAGTTATTGTGAATGAGTTGAATAAAGCTCGACTTATCTGTTTTGTTTTGCTTAATGTGCCTTATAGTCTGAAAAATATGGTATGTTATTTTTTCCAACAGAGAAATACATTTCATTTGTATATAATGGATTCTCTATTTTTTTTTTTAGAAAATAAGGTTTTAAAAACTTTAAATTTTTTATGATCTACAAAGGTTTTGCTGCTGGACCAACTGAACACTCCACTGTTTGGTATAAGACTTTCAGTATACTCTCAGTCCAAGTTAAACTCTTTAGACAGCTCAGAGTAGAAGACAGATCCTCACCACTGCTGACCAGAAAAGTAGAAGACATTCTCAATTAAACTTTCCTTGATTGGCCTATCTGTTATATACTGTGTGCACAGGGAGACAGAGAGTTTGTTCTGACTGCTGGGCTAATTGGCAGATATAGATCCAGCTTTTTTTTTTGTCCACCATGCTTCCTTTTCTGGCCAGTACATGTGTATATTTGTGTGAACCTGCTGTGTTTGTGTGTTTCTGCATGCCTGTTATTGACTGGACCTACCCCAAAGTTCTGTCAGGACTAACAAATTGATTGTAAGACAGACTGCTGAGTTCTCCCACACCACCATCCCACAAGCCAAACCCTGTGTACATGTGTATTTGTGCTTGTTTATGAGTAAGCCTGTTTTTGAGTACTTGCATTGAGGAAACCCCCAGCTTCCTCTAATCAACTCCAACACTCTGCCTTGCTGTCAAACACACAAAAGTTATTTCCCAGGAACCTTCAACAAATAAGCTGTCGGTTTTCTATTCATTAGTGGGCGATAATTAAGTTATTTTTTTACTGTCTTTTAGTTTGTGCTGTTTTTTATTTTCACATAAACACATGAAATCAGATGATGGCACACATTTTCTGTTAAGTCTTGCATGAGCCATTTGAATTGGCTACCATTATTTTTCTATAAAGAGACAAAGTACCATATTTTCCAGCATATAAGTCACAGTTTTTTGCATATATTTTGCAGTCCTGCGACTTATGTACTTTTTTTTCCATATTCATGACACAGTTTTTGACTGGCACTTTAAATTTTGAAGAACTACAACGGCGAGTCCTCCTGTGCCCACTTGCTTCACTCAGCTGGTGCATTCGGAGGAACGCTGGAGAGCTCATGGCTCCATCTGCAATGGATGGATGGATGGAGCTCCCTGCCCAGGATAAATTTTCATTCAACCTCATTCAACCTTTATTTAGACAGGTAAATCCCATTGAGCCTCGAGGACTCATTTACAAGAGAGACCTGATTTCAACAAAGAATGATGACAACAATGGACAACAGCGACAACAATAGACAGTTATAAAAAGGCATACAGATTTTTATTTTTTTTTACAAATAAGATGGCCCAAAAAAGTTGCAGAACAGCTAGATTATAAGGTGAATGCAGAAAACTAAAAACAGGAACATGTCTGCATTGGTCCTTGCCAGGAGTCCAACAGATTATTAAAGCCACTTAGAGAGGTCAAGGTCGAGAGCTTCGGGTCTTTTTGTAAGATATTCCAGGAAACTGGAGCGGAGTAGGAGAAGACCCTTTTGCCTAGTTCGGTCCGCACTGAGGGAACACTTCAGGTAATAATGTCCTGAGAGCGCACGCTGTAGCTGCACTCACGCAAAGACATGTAGGAGGAGATATATGAAGGCAGCAGACCAAGAAGTGATTCAAAGATGAAAATGTACCAGTGGGAGAGTCTGCGTGAAGTTAATGATGTCCAGTTAACCAGTGAATACAGGGTGCAATGATGGGTACGATAATCACAGCCAGTTATGAATCTTAGTGCACCGTGATAGACAGCATCCAACATCTGCAGGGTGCTTGTTGGAACGTTCATGTAAATAATGTCACCGTAATCAATGGAGGGAAGGAAAGTCAAGGTGTTTTCTAGCATTCAGAGTTGGACAGGGTCTGTTTCTGAAAAAGAAACCCAGTTTAACTTTCAGTTTCTTTACTAGGTTTTCCACATGGAGCTTAAAAGAGAGATGCGAGTCAACCAAGATACTCAAATATTTATAAGAATCAACAAACTCAATGGGGACATCATTTGAGGATAAAATCGGAGGAAGAACTGCTGGGACCGACTTCCTGTTGTAAAAACGCATCCCTTTTGGTGTTGTCGGCATTTAGGACAAGTTTGAGGCGGAACAAATCAGACTGGATGATGTTAAATGCAGATTGCAAAAGCTGGAAAGTCTTAATAACTGTTTTAGCTCGACAATAACAGTTATTAAGGCTTTCCTTAATTGTAAGGCGATTTCCAATTAATAAACACATACTAAATGCGATGGGTCAGCGGTGACGCATAATAAATGCAACTTATATATGTTTTGTCCTCTTCATGATGCTTTTTTGACTGATGCGACTTATACTCCAGAGCAACTTATACACCGGACAATACAGTAAGACCTTCACTCTGCTCCAGACATCCTATCTCCCTAAACCTTTCAATGACAGTCACGTGTATCCTTCACTCATCCTTCAAAAATGAATACAACTCCAACGTGCAGGATGATAATAGCAAATTCTGTAATATGGATAGAAAAGGGGTGTATCAAAGGCTGAGACACTGTAAAAACCCATGTTTTATTGTCTGACTCTCCTCTGGTGGTAACTCCTCTCCATACTAATGAGTTACTGCCCTTTTAATAGAAACTGGCTGAGCTAATGGACAGAAAAATCATCCTCTAATGCAGATCGGATGTTTGGAACGACAGAGCAGCAAAACACGATAGGCTCGGAGTGGCTTCTGTCACACTCGCACACCCTTTCTGTCAATCAGTTGCTCGTTGACAAACAGCTCGGGTAGGGTGGCGAAGTGAAGCAGATGTCGGGAAAACAAACGAGATCCTCTGACTTCCTAAACCGAATGATTCAAATGTTTCTTTCCTCTCTCGCATCTTGTTGCCGCTTAATTCTGTCATTTAAACTTGAGACCCGCACTGACTTTTCACAACCGAGTCCTGTTTGCTATTCCCGTCTTGGTACTCCCATCGCTCTGCTCTCCACGCTCTCAACTCTTCCCGTATCCATTTTCTTTTTCCCTGAAGGCATTTCTTAAATGTATGTGTTTACAGAGAAGGGGAGCAGGAGAAGAGGTTGTGGCACCGAGGGAGAGGTTAGCGGGGCTTATTTTAATTAACGATCGCCTGGCCCCTCTCTAGATTCTATCAAAGATTAAAACTTGTTAGGATTGATTTTGGCTTCTTTCCCAATTAAGCTACGGTCCCGCTGCGACTGACAGAACTGGAGACAAGAGGCGGGATGAGGGTCAGGGTAGGATGGATTCTAGAATTGCGCCGCTCAAGGTGGCTGCATGTTGGAGCAGCTCTGTTACTTTAATTCTGAGATTTTGATTTTGGAAACTTTAATTCCTCTTTCTCTGGATGTAAATCACATTTTTTGGATGATTGTTTCCTCTGGTATCGAATGCTGTGCAGCTGGAAGGATTTTTACTGAAACTTTTTTTAGTTTGGACATTTGT